GCTTCAAAGCACATTTTTATTCAGACCACAACTTGAAAAGTTATTATGAATCTTTTAATTTCTACCTTCTCTTAAAAATTATACCCCTTTCTTCCAGTGATATTCTAAGTAAATTAATTTCCCAAATTGACATTATGCTACCAAAGCATCATTTCCTTTATTAAAACTTGCCAGGAACAGATAATACCAATGTCTCTGTGGAAGGAATTAGGGGAAACTCCTGTTATTGGAAGGCTTGCAGAAAAAATGTTTCAGAAACCACCCTATCCTACTCCGTTTTTGCTTTTTTAAAAAACCTTTGAACCTTTCTTTTTATTACCTTATACAAATCTGGACATTTTCCTTCAAATGTAAGGTTAGCTCAAAATGATCTGAAGCATCCTCCCTAACTAGTGACTCTTTAGAGTCTAAGAACCTTATTCCTGACAATAAGGTACCCAGAAAAGAATGTTTTTGTTATCAAGTCATACTTCTTTATTTCCTGTTTATAACCAAAGATTTTTTCATTCCGAGCAATACTTTATAAATCAAGAAAACCATTTAAAAAAAGATGGATCCATATTAAAATGATGAAAATAAACTTAACAACGTGTATCTTACCAAATACTAAGTCACACAAATAATACTAGGGTACGGTGAGTTTGTGCTCTATGCCAGGCACTGGGCTAGGTGCTTTATGCGTATTCTACATTCCCTATAACAGTTCTTCAAGAAGGGCATTTCATAACAAGGAAACCCAGATGCAGGAACCCAAGGCTTGCTGAATTCCAAAACCTGTTTTCTGTGCTTTGCATTGTGTGGTCTCCTCTGAAGACAGTGGACAAGGTACCTGCCCAAGTGGAGTTAATATCACCTTTCCCTCATTTTAAAGAAAATTATGTGGAAAAAGCCTATAAAAACACATGGTTCCACATACCGACTAGAATGGTTAAATTTAAAAAGACAGAAAACACCAAGTGTGGCAAAAATATGGAACACATGGAATTCTCACATATTGCTGGTGGGAGGGTACACTGATACAACCATTTTGGAAAACATTTTGGCGGTGTCTACTAACGCTGAAGATATGCACACCCTCTGACTCAGCAATTCCCCTCTTAGGTGTACCCAACAGAGATGCAAACATATATTCACTAAAAAGATACATGCAAGAACGTTCACAATAGCACTAGTTATAAAAGCCAAGAACTGGACACTACTCAAATGTCCATCAACACTAGAATGGATAAACAAACTGCAGTTTGTTCAGCCACGAGCATGAATGGCTTACAACTACAGGCAACAATATAAAGAATGTTATACAAAAGTGGTCAGAAACAAGAGTCTTTATTGTATGACTCCACTGACATAACGTGCCAAATTAATCTATGATATTAGAAGTCAAAACAATGGCTCCCTTGTTGGCAGAGGGAGGCAACCAGAAAGGGACACAAAGGGGATCGCTGGGGGGCTGGTAATGTTCTCTTTCTTCATCTGGGTTTGTTCCATTTGTGATAATTCATTGAGTCATATACTTATGATTTGTGTACTTCTCTGCATGTATGTTATACTTCAGGATAAAAGTTCAAAACAACAATAACAACCAACAAACCTGTAAGTTCTACAAAAGGGCAATTCCTTGAATAATCTAAAGAGAGAACCGTTTGCATCATCTGCCAACGTTTATAGCAAAGCTATCCACTCTCCTAGGTGTCATGATAGGGAACAGCAAAAGCATCGATAACTCCCTTCCAAGGGGACTCGAGGTCAGGGAAGAAGAGTCTACTAAATAGACTATTCTATTTTTAAGAAGGGCAATCAAGAAAGAACATCTCATTAGCAACTTATAATTACTTCCAAATCCCAACACAGAACACAACCTATTAACACCATTTTAAAAAATGAAGTTTATAAAACCATGAACCGTTCTAATTATTTGCCCAAATTCACAAAGAATTGAGAAAGAAACATTAGGTTGGCTAGAGTGTTAGAAATTAGTTCTCCTTTACCAAAGACTCTGATTTGAGTCTGAAGTCTTTCAGTATAAGAAATATGGGATAGGGTCCTTACTAAGCAATTTCCAAGACAAATGACTTCGGCATTTATTTATTTGGGGGAAAATAGAAAAACTGACATTTAAATCAGGAGCAAATTTGTGGATACAGGATATACAAAGTTACCTGCAGACACCATGAACTGCTAACCTACCCATCCGTGACCTAGACTCTAATAGAGGAATGGTCTAGATGCCAACAGCCCTGGGACTCGCCAGCATATCACATGTCTCTCTGAGTCTCAACGTGCACAAAGAACGCTAGCTACCCATGAAACAATTTCTGGGGAAAAAGACTTAACAGGAAGCACTTGTAACACTACCCAAAAATGTCTATCACTGCGACTTTTATAACACTATAATTTTTAATCTCCACCTCCAAATTGTATGAATCTACTATTTTTTTTTTTTTTAAGACAACAGCAAGGAATAGCCATTATGGATCAGGTACTTTACATTATTGTTAATCTATAATCTCATTTCATCAGGGAGGACCCTGATGGTCTACAGGTTAAGCAACTTGGACAAGGCCTCAGAACTAGTCACTGCTGACTTGGAAAAGCTAGGATTTGAAGCCCCAGACAGCTGTCTTCTCCCGACACCACAGCGGTAAATATATGGCAAGCTATGACGCCCCCTGGCACAAACGCAGACATCACCGATCAAGCAAGACACCCTTTCCTGCTGATCCAGATGCAGCCTCAAAATCCCTCTCAGGAAAGATCTCCAAGGATGCATTCAGAGAAGATGAAAAATGCAGAACAGAACATACAGCAAGCTAACTTTTGTGTAAGAAGAAGCAGGGATAAGAATATATAGTCTCAAGTGCTTGTATAAAGAAACACTGGAAATATACACAAGAACTCAGTAATAGTGATTACCTATGGAGAAGACAAAGGGGGAAGGGAATGGGTACTTGGGGACAGGGTACTTGAATTGTATTAACTACATTGCCTTTATTTTTTAAATTTATGCTGGCAATTCAGACAAATGTTACTTAACATAGCCATTCTACAATCAGTTTCAACATATCCCTAATACTTCAGTTAGCACAAAGTTAGCTAGAGCCAAATGATTCATTCAACAAATATTTCTTGAGCACCTACTATGTTCTAGAGACTCTTCTAGACACTGGAGACAGAGGAATAAACAAAAACCCCCCAATCCTTACCTTCATGGAGCTTACATTCTACTGTGAGAAACAGACAATATATAAAAACATAAAATATATACTATGGCACATGTCAGGAAGTGCTTAAAGGAGAAATATGGCAAGAAAAGGGGATACAGGAAATGTTCAATGAGAAAGGGTCGGTTTGGATTTTTAGGCCTTGGAAGGCCTCATCGAGATGATAAATATTGGGTAAATATTTGAAAGAAGTGAGGGAGACAGCCATACTGTTCTTTGGGCGAAGAGCATTCTAGGCAGAACCAACAGGAAACACGGAGGACCTGAGGCAGGAGCAAGCCCACCAGGTTTGTCCAAGGAACCTGTTAGGCTGGAGTGGCAAGAGCAATGGGGAGCGCAGCATAAGATGAGCTTGGAAAGGCAACCAGACCAGGTCAGATAAAGACTCACAGGTCACAGTGAAGGATTTGGCGTTCACTCCAAGTGAGATGGCTGTCACTAGAGGGTTGTGAGCAGAGGAGTGACACACTCTAATCAGACTTTAATAGTGTTGCTCTGGCTGCTGTATTAAGAGGCTGTAGCGGGGTACAAGGGCAAAAGCAGGGAGACTAGTGTGGTCAGCAGCCTCTAAGATGGCACCAATAATCCTCACCTCCTGGTATTCAAGCCCTTATATAATTCTCTCCTCTTGAGTGTAGGCTGGATTTAGTGACTCACTTCTAACCAACAGAGGTAATGGGATATTACTTTTAAGACTAAGTTACAGAAAGACTATGGTTTCTGTCCTAGGGGCTCTTTAGCTTTCCCTCAGACCCCTTCCTCTTGCTCTAGGGGAAGACAGCTATCATGCTGTGAGCAGCACAATGGACAAACACCAGATGTTTCCAGCTAAGAGCCGGAGAGGACCTAAGGCTTGACAAGAGCCAAACGAATGACCTTGGGAGTATATCTGCTTTGCCTCAAGCCTTGAGATGAGTGCGATCTCTACCAACACGTTGACTGCAGCCTCTGGAAGCCCTGAGCCAGAAATATCCAGCTGAGCTAAATGCATGTTTTCAACAACTAAGGTCTGAAGTAATGTTACAGAGCAATCATAACTAAGACAGTAAGTCAGGAGGCCAGTTTAATAATCCAAGCAAGAGATGTTGGTGGTTTGACTAGTGTTAAAAGTGGAGGTAGTGAGAAGTGGGTGGATTCTGAGTATATTTTAAGGTAGGGTTAACTGGATTTGTCAACATGTGAGAGAGACTGGGTGTGAGATGGGTGAGAGGGAGAGGACAAAAATGAATCTGAGGTTTTTGATCTGAGTAAGTGAAAAGCTGGAATTACCATTTATAAAAATGGGGAACTCTGAGAAGAGAAGGCGGGTTAGGCGGGAGTTGCTATCATGACTCAATTCTGGACATATTTAGCCTGAAATGGCTATGAGACATTCAAGTAGAGCCAAGAAGGCAACTAGGTACATGGGTCTGTGGTTCAGTGCTGCAGGTCTGAATTTCTGAGTCTTTGGCATATCAATGGTATTTAAAGCCACAAGCCCAGATGAAATCAACAGGCAGTGATTAAAAGAAAAAATATAAGAGGTCAAGGACTGAGTTTGGGACACTCAAACATATAGAGGTCGGAGAGTTTGAGGAAAACTCAGGAAAAGAGACTGAGCAGAAGCAGCCAGACGTGTTGGAGGAAATCCAGGCAAATGTGGCATCCTTAGAAGCCGAGTGAAGAAAGTGTTTCAAGGGAGAGATAGTAATCAACTGTGCCAAAAATACTAGTCAAGTAGAGAAGCATTCTCCAACTTCACATTTTTATTGAGTAGTTTATCTTTGGGATTCAACCTACCTCACTTTCTTGAGTAAAGTCAAGGGCATCTTCTCCTGATGCCAGAAGTGTGTGTAGAATTCGCTGTTTCACTTGCTCCCACTCGACCAACATTGACTCTCGATGGTACTCCTCAGCCATGCCAAAGGTCTGTCAGAAAGGAGCAGAGAGCAATAACCCCCATGAAAAACAAAGAACATGGTTTCCTTTAAAGCCCAACAGAAGCTCAAAGTCCCCCAGACCTACCATTTCTCCCTAAGAGCAGCAAAAGCAATCTACTTTTTAAATTATCCTTAAAGAATTTACTGACAACTGTTTGCATGATCCTATTTCATTGATTCTAAGACTTTTTTTTGAGACAGAGTCTCAACTCTGTTCCCTGGGCTAGAGTGCTGTGGTATCAGCCTAGCTCACAGCAACCTCAAACTCCTGGACTCAAGCAATCCTACTACCTCAGCCTCCCGAGTAGCTGGGACTACAGGCATACGCCACCATGCCCAGCTAATTTTATATATATATATATATTTTTAGTTGTCCAGCTAATTTCTTTCCTTTTTTTTTTTTTAGTAGAGATGGTGTCTTGCTCTTGCTCAGGCTGGTCTCAAACTCCTGAGCTCCAACAATCCGCCTGCCTCGGCCTCCCAGAGTGCCAGGATTATAGGTGTGAGGCACCACACCCGGCCTGATTCTAAGACAGTTTTAAAAACCTTTTTCTTTTCCTGAGATAGGGTCTCACTCTGTCATCCAGACTAGAGTGCAGTGGCGTCATCATAGCTTACTACAATCTCAAACTCCCAGGTGCCAGCAATTTTCCTGCCCTAGCCTCCTGAGTAGCTGGGATTAGAGACCCATGCCATCACATCCAGCTAATTTTTGTATTTTTTTTTTTTTAGGGATTGAGTCTCGCTCTTGCTCAGGTTGGTCTCAAACTCCTGGTCTCCAGCATTACTGCCACCTCAGCCTCCCAAGTGCTATGCTAGGATTATAGATGTGAGCCACTTCACCTGGCCTAAAAACCTTTTTAACTTTGTTAGAATACACATAAAATTTACCATCTTAACCATTTTTAAGTGTACTGTTCCATGGTATTAAGTGTATTTATACTGTTGGGCAACTATCACCACTATCCATTTCCAGAATTCATCCTGCATAACTGAAACCCTGTACTCATTGAAGAATAAATCCCCATTTTCCTCTCTCTCCAGCCCCTGGCAGCTGCCTTTCTACTTTTTGTCTCTCTGAACTTGACTACTCTAGGTATCTCACATAACTGAAATCATACAGTATTTGTCTTTTTATGACTAGCTTATTTCACTCAGCATAACGTCTTTAAGGTTTATCCAAGTAGTACCATGTTTCAGAATTTCCTTCCTTTTTAAGGCTGAAAATATTCCATTGTATGTACACACCACATTTTGTCTACCCATTCATTCACTGATGGACACCTGAGTTGCTTCTACCTTTTGGCTATTGTGGACAATGCCGTTATAAACATGGGTGTAAAACATCTCTTCACGTCCCTGCTTTCAATTCTTCTGGGTATATACTCAGAAGTGGAATTGCCAGGATCGTAGGGCAATTCTATTTTAAATTTTTTTGAAGAACACCTATACTGTCTCCTCCATAAAGGCTGCACCATTTTACATCCTTACCAACAGTACACAAAGGTTTCAATTTTTCTACATCCTTGCTGGCACTTAATATTCTGGATTTTATGGACAGCAGCCATGCTAATGGGTGTGAAGTAGTATCTCATTGTGGTTTTGATTTGTATTTCCCTAATGATTCGTGACATTAAGCATCTTTCCATGTGCTTATTAAGACAAACATCTTTTTAAAACCTCTGAAATTAGGCTGCATATTACAATCGATAGCATGTCATAGCAGTATTTTTTCTTTGTAGTACATAAAATAATGATGTATTATAAAATCAAAGGTATCTTAAGATTCAATAAGCATGTAAGATAAGAAAAGACAAAGATGAAAGAGTCTCCTGGTGATTTATTTTTTTAAGAAACGCTAATATTTTCATAGGAAGAAGCATACCAGTAAAAGAAAAATAGCCTCCTGGATTTAAGTTTCCTACCAGTCTACTCAAAGTCACTGAGAAGTCTGGCAAACCTCACCAGACTCACCAGACCTACTGGTAGTTGCCAAAACAAAGGCATTCAGGTGGAGAAGAAAAAAGAGAAAGGTGGAGGGAGGTAGAAGAGAAAAAGAAAAGCAAGAAGAGGACAAAAAAAAGAGAAAACCTCTTAGGAGAAAACTAAAACAAGTTACAGAGATATACTGAATTACGACCATTCTCAGCCTATTATACTTTAACACATTGAATGCCATACTAGAAAAATTTTTTTTTCCTTGGGACCACGGTGAGTTACTACAAAAATAGAATAAAAACTTCAAAAACAAAACAATTTAATGAAAATTTAATTTAATGAAAAATTTATTTTTTATTGTTTTCTGTGCATGAGTTATATGCAACTGGAAAAATACTTCTCTCATCTCCCAAGGTGAAGAGATGTGTGAGTTACATAAGCTTCATAGGCCCCAGGCTCACTCACTATTGAGAGTTAAATACAACTCACATGTAGTTAATATGTTAATTGAAACCGGAACCGGGTTTCCCATCAGCTTGAGCCCACTTTTCAGGAAGCCATTTCATTTACAATCAGATTGGCATCTAATCAGGCAGCATAAAGGGAATGAGTATTAGTAATGCCTGCTTTATTTTTGGCAATTTAGATCATTTATACTGATAATATCCATATACATGAACTTCAGGAACTGTTAGAAAACCACATATAGTCCTCCCACAAATGGGATGTTTGACTTTGGACCAATATTTATTAAAATGTGAAAAGGGAACACCAGACACACACACACAAATGATTAGGAAGAAGGTTGGCACATCGTACTCCTTTCTAATATGCATTCTTAAGACACAGGAGAAATGACAATCATAAACTTTAAAAATAATCTTCCACCTGGTTTTCTTCTTTTCATTGACAGGCAGAATGGCTCATTCTAGTTAGTTAACCTGAACTGAAAAATACCCAGAGAAAAATCTTTGCCTCTTATTCTCATCAGTAAACTTAAACATGAAAGCTATACATTTTGAATAGAGAGAAGTATGATGGAACAGAAAGGTGGGATGTAGGGGAAGGGAAGAGATAATTTTCCTAGAAGCTATCCAGAAAGAATGCATGCACAAGTGAGCCACATCTTCTAAAACTCTTCCTACTTAGTGTTCAAACCAACAGCCTCCTCTGTCTTGAGCCTCTCCCAAGAAGGTAAAATGGAGGCCCGTGTGGAACGAGGACCAGGGAATGTAGAAATAAGGAGCTGGGGGAAGTTTGATACATTATACAGCTTTTGAGCTTGCAACAGGAAGTGAGGCACAAACTAGACTGCGCTACCACCACAAAGTGTCACAAGACCTCTGACTAATAAAGAATGGCAGAGTGGGTAAAGGCAGTTGAAGAAAACACAATATACCACCCACAGAAATTGCTGATGAGGACAGTGGGGGGGGGGGGGAACAGACTTCCAGCACCAGGTGAGGGTCAGAATGACAATAGTAGGAATTAACCACCGTCTGTTAATTAGGCTGCTCACCTGTGTGTCAAGAACCCCTGCCTCAGTACTTTGGAAGTACTCTGAAAACCATCAGCTTTCTGGGCTCAAATCCTCAGATATATCTGAGAAGTATGCCAAGGCTGCTCATTTAGAAACTAACTGCCCCACAACCTGAATGAATAGTGCTGTGGTTGCATTCATTGCTGGTGTGATAAGGAGCTTCAAATAAAAATATATGGCCCAACATTAAAATTCTCTCCCTTGACCACATCACCCCCAGCTTATCTTAATTACATTAGAGGTAATAGAACATCCAATTTGTGGGCTAATCAGGAATGATCAGCCACCCATCTGCCCATTCCAGCCTATTCCGTTCATAACCATGTCTAAACCAGTGTATTAGGTGCAAAGAGGAATGCTAACTAGAGGAACTAATGAGAGAGAATCAATAGAGCTACTTAACTATTAATAAGAACTAAGAGGAGGGCAGTGAGTCTGGGGTGAGGTGGGAGGTAGGGACAAGAATGAAAGAAACCCAAGGGAAGAGGAGATAAACCGAAAGGGAGGGGAGAGATCTAAAAATTACAAGGAAGGCAAGACAAATCACAGAAAAAGACAGGACAGTGGAGAGACTACTATAAATTCAATTTGAACCTTTCAAGTTATTGTTATGTGTGCAAAATATTTCTCTTTGAACACAGTTAAGAAAAACAGGCAGGGATAGAACTGGGCAAGTGAAGTAAGAACAGGTGGGGAGCACTTGAACCCCATTTTTGTAAAGGGAAGAGGGCAATATGCTTTGACTTCACACCAGTTTATTACTGAGCTGTTGCTGGCTTTTAGAAACACTGCATATGTTCTGATAATGTTGTTCTGTTTTTGCTGGGATGTACCAAATGGGAAAAGATAGGACACATTTGTGGTTTTGTAGCTTGTTTTCTTGGCATTTCAGCAGGACATTGGCAAGTTATTCAAACATGAAATTGCCACCAAAATGCCAGAAAGCCACTCACCTTTTGTTTGAAAATGATTCTTGCTCAGTGGTAGTCTCCTGGTGTCCAGACAGGTCAAAGGTCTCCCCCTAGGCCAGCTCCCAACACTGGAATGCCTCCCTCACAAACACATATGCACACATTTTGCACTGTGGTATGTCACCTAAATGTTTTGGCTGGCTGCACATTTAGTCTCAGTATGCTACAATGTTCAGAGACTGCCAATTCCAGAAACACATTCTGCGGGGTAAATGGATTAATAAGGCTTGGTAGCATTCGACAATCTTAATTTAATTTCATTGGTCCTTTACAGCAGGAGAATCAATGTTGGTGAGTAAGAAACTCATAGTGTGAACAAAAAAAACAACTGTTTTTTTTTTTTATATTTCCAAATCTGAATCAAGTGAATTTGTCTATTTCTAGGAGTAAGTACTATTGCCAACAACATAATTTTTGGGAATTTTATTCTGATAATTAAACATATCAGTTATTTAAATAATGCCTTTGGAACACTGTCTTATATATTAGAGCTGGCAAGCCTCCCTGCTGCCCTATCTCACATAGGTCCTATTGAGACATGTTCACCTTCATAAGATATTTTAATAAAGCGCACTGAGAAACAGCATTTTTTCACTTTATTATTTTTTAAATTACACAAATGGTACCTAAGCACATTTCACTTGCTGTATCAAAGGTTAAATAAGTAAACAGCAAAACAAAGTCTCCCTTCATGTCTACTCCCTTTGCAGAGAGATGCTGCTAGCAGACAGCACGGACTCTGCCAGCCTCCTGCCTGGGGAAAGCTGCCCTTCTAGAACCAACTCCACAGGAGAGCTAACCTTTCTCCTCCCTCCCCAAAAGACCCCGGTGGCCTGAAAATCTCTTTCTCTGTAAGGGTATGTTTTGGAAAGGTTTTGATCTTTTGATTCTTGTTGGAGACAAATGGTGACAACTCACATGTAAGTAAATGACCATTAAGCATCTTGCAGGAATGCTTGTTGCAAAATATTGCTGCACATATAGTGGCTGCTCTGGCTAACTTATTTACCATCTTTTCAAGCACAGAGCTAGTTTTTTTTTAAGACTTGGAGAAATTGTTAATATAGAAGGTGGTACAGCCATATTGCATAATAAAAGGAAAAGAAGTTGAGGCAAATTATCAATAATCATAATTTCGTTTCTGAACTGGTGATTCAGTAGAAACCAAAATACCACTTACACAATAATGAAACCAAAAGACATTCTGGGCCTTCCATTTTAACATTAATTGTCCAGTCCAGTGTCTCAGATGCATTTCAGTCACTAAATACATACAGAGTTACAAGCATAGTATTTTGCTCAAAAATGGTTCCTGAAGAATTCTCTCCAGTAGGAGAGAGCTGGGCCTGGAACAGAGACTCCAGCTTCCAGAACTTGCATTCCCCTGGTATATGCCGGTGCCCTCATAACTATTTACATCTACATTTTGGTTTGTTTTCTTACCCTCTTGCGGGACTCTTCAATGGCAGATAGCAGGGCATTGTCCTTCTCATTCTTCAAGAAGCCCTATGAAAGGGGAAAAAGATGGCACAATTTAGGTTAAAATTAACCTTCAAATAATCAAAAGTATACTATAGGACAAAAAATAACCATAAGGATATCTGCTACTCTGCCCACTTCCATCTTACAAAATTCTCTCAACTTGAAAACATCAAAGTAAATGATTTTTATGGATATTTCCTAGTTTCTTTCAATCTAGAAACACATGATTGTTAGAAGATAAAATCCCTACAAAATAGCAGTGTGGAGTCCCATGTACCATAAGCATGTAAAAAGTGAATATCAAGACTATTCTTCATGGGAGGCGGAGGTGGGCGGATCGCTCAAGGTCAGGAGTTCAAAACCACCCTAAGCGAGACCGCGTCTCTACCAAAAATAGAAAGAAATTAATTGACCAACTAAAAATATATATACCAAAAAAAAATTAGCCAGACATGGTGGCGCATGCCTGTAGTCCCAGCTACTCGGGGGGCTGAGGCAGAAAGATCACTTGAGCCCAGGAGACTGAGGTTACTGTGAGCTAGGCTGACGCCATGGCACTCACTCTAGCCTGGGCAACAAAGTGAGATTGTCTCAAAAAAAAAAAAAAGACTATCCTTCAAAATTCCTACATGGCTCGTACTGCACATACTGCTTGGCTGTGTGGCCATTCACAGTTCCTCTAACTGTTCCTCAGTCTGTATTTCTCTGTTGATTTCAATTAATCCTTTGATTTCTTCCTTACGTGGAAGACACTATCACTGCCCACTTGGCTGGGTGCTATTCATTTGTTTGCCAATGGCTGAGAAACCCTAAAAATTATTTATTTGCACATTTCTTCCAGGGTTCTGCCACGTGGATTCCCTATTTTGGGTCTGATGACATCCACGGCTTGTTTAACATAGGTGAGGTGAAGAGACAGTCTACAAACCCAGTTTAATGTGCACAGGTTAAACACCTGCAAAATGAAACTATACAATAACACAATGGCTGAAAGGAAAGGCTTTGAAATGTGACAGTTTCAAATCCTAGTGCCTCCATTTACTAAAGGCAGGACTTTAGCCAGGTCACCTAAACTCTTTATACCTCAGTTTACCCATGTGTAGCAATAAGATAATGTAATCAAGTTCTTGGCCCAAGGTTCAGCACACATAGTTCAACTATTAGAATTGATTAGATTTAAGTCTATTGGTGATTTTCATTAACAAAACAGATGTCCAAGGTGACCTCCTTGCTGCTGTTCATTGTCCTTATTTATTTTAGCTGAGATCTGGTGGGAAAGAGGGCAAGATACTGTTCTGACAGCCTCAGCAGCAGACACACACGCAGATATACAGAGTGGGCTTCCATGCTAATACCTTGCCCTTCATTCAAGGGTGGAGTTTCTTTTCCAAAGATTGGAGAATGGGGGTTGAGTAGGAACAAGGAAGATGATCCATCAACTAGAGATCAAAGTCTAGCTATAATATGGAAGAATTCACATTAACCTACACATCTGATCCACCTATACTCCCATGCAAGACATAAGCATGTTAAGCACACTACCGGTGCATTTATGTGTGTCTAAAATGACCTGCTTTTTCAGAATCATGTTTTTGCTTTTTAAAGAAACTTTGCAGATATATAATACAAAGCAGAGTTCTGTGAAAATTTTTAAAACGACAAGCTAAATTAAAACACACTTGACAGTTTTCTTGTATTGAAAACTTACTGTCATGGTTAAATAGTTCTTGATCACTTATTACATTTTAACAAGTGTAATGTTTTAGTATACAGTCATGTGTCACCTAAGATGTTTTAGACATTATAGCCCCGTACACACTTAGGCCATAGAGTATAGCCTCTTGCTCCTAGTCTACAAACCTGTATAGCATGTTTGTGTACTGAATACCGCAGGCAAATGTAACACAATGGTAAGCATTTGTGTATCTAAACATATCAAAACATAGAAAAGCTGGCCGGGCGCAGTGGCTCACGCCTGTAATCCTAGCACTCTGGGAGGCCGAGGCGGGCGGATTGCTCGAGGTCGGGAGTTCGAAACCAACCTGAGCAAGAGCGAGACCCCGTCTCTACTATAAATAGAAAGAAACTAATTGGCCAACTAATATATATAGAAAAAATTAGCCGGGCATGGTGGCTCATGCCTGTAGTCCCAGCTACTTGGGAGGCTGAGACAGAAGGACTGCTTGAGCCCAGGAGTTTGAGGTTGCTGTGAGCTAGGCTGACGCCACGGCACTCACTCTAGCCTAGGCAACAAAGCGAGACTCTGTCTCAAAAAAAAAAAACCATAGAAAAGGTACAGTAAAAATATGGCATTATGGTCTCACAGGACCACTGTTATATATTTGGTCTGTCTTTGACCAAATTTTCATTATGTAGCACATGACTGTGTTCCATTCAAATAGTCTTTAAAAAATGGGGGAAGGAGACAGAGTACCAGGATACAAATTTAAATAAAATATTACTAATCTTCATAGATTCTCCAGCTCCCTTACATATTGGCTCATGACTCCCCTACACTTGCTGTCACACCCCTACCTGGGCAGTGCACTGGACAGGGACAATAGCTAGCAGTCCCAGCAAAACGTCTCCTCATAAAGACTCCTCCAGGGCAGTCTCTGAGGCAGCTCTGAAGACACAATATGAAGACTACTCCAAATATGTGTACTAATAATTGGGGTTGGGGGCTGGGGTTCACTTGCCTAAAAATGTAATGAGCTCAATAAACTAGAGGTCATAAAGCAAGGAACCCACGTGGTCCATTCAGAAGTTGGCAGCCTGTCACTGCATGCCTGCCTCTGGCCATGGCAGGGGAGCCAGACACAAGATGATGCTCAAAATTTTAATGGGCTTTATACCCTTCACAGCAAATGATTCCATCAAGTCAACAAACCTTTGGTATGAATTCCCTTTTGTGAGGGGTCTTCAATGACTAAAGCTAAAGCCTTTGGTGTCACAGTTTATAGACAAAACTATGCAACTATTATCAATGACTGATGCTCCCTATCAGAGTGTAGGCATAGGCTGTGCTCTGCTGCACCTTTGTCTAAACAAGCCACGTTTGGGGGCAGAGAGACAGCCACTGCCTGACAAGGCCTGGTCTAATTTTTTCTTTTTAGTAGTGGTGGGGGTGTCTGGGTTAAGTCAGATGTTCTGTCCCACCCCTGCGGCTTCCTCTGCTCTTCCTCGTCTATGACCAGCCCACCCCAGTCTTTTAACTGCACCCACATCCACATCTCTCTCACGCACACAATTAAGATACAAGTGCACAGCAATAATCAGATACATTTGTTTAAAGGCAAATAATATTCTGCAAGAAACATAACCCCCAATTTCTAAGAGATGAAATTTCAAATAGAAGTTAAGAAAAAAAGAAAAGACATTACTGCTTTATAGCAGATAACTTTCATCTTTATAAAGCTACATTTTAAAAAATTCAATAAATTAAATGAAGCATTTCTGTGTGACAGTGAAATCTTAGCCCTTAACCCCTATGAACAAACACTATTAACCATTATATATCTCAAAAAAAATCATGTACCTCAAAAATTGGGCCTTCTCTATAGTAAACTGAGCCCACAAAATAAATTCTGAATTTTAATTTTTCATCCTTTATTCCCTTCTAAAATTAAATGCTAAAATGGGTTACACATCACTTATTTTTTAAAACAACATAATACTGGCCTATCTTTCAAAACGAATCTTAAAAATAATAACAATTTATAGTCAGAGTAGCGCTGGGATCTGTGTGCCACCTAGTGGTGGTTAGTTTCTTTTAAAGCACACACAGCTCAAAGAAAAGTTAACAGCCCACAGGAACTAAAGAACTGAAAAGTTGGGTAGAAACATACCTGCCTCAGCCCAGGTTTTCCACAGGTCTCTTCTTTGACTTCCCCTTTCTACCTGCGTGTTTCCTTTCCTTCTAGCTCCTCCTGTGAGGCATCTCTCGTGTCCTCACCCCGGAGATTATGTGCAGAGCTTACTGCAAAATGGGTTCTCTGGGGAGCGGAGCTGGGGCGTGAAGGGTGAATGAGCTCCCTGCCATTCTGAAGCCCTCTGGGCAGAGAGGCCCCAAGAGCTCACCTCCTGCTCTGAGATGCCAGATGTATCCCCTGATTTCATCTACAAGCACTTTTTAATTGCTCTGTCTCCCACCCAACCCTTCTACTGCAGGTCCACTCAATAAAGAACACCCTATAAATACTTGCAGCCCGGCAAAGTAAAAGGACTTACTCCTAACTCCCTGCTCCTCACTGCTAGAGTCCTGGAAACAGATCCTCCTCTAACTGGCTCCTTGAATGTGTTTTGGTTTCCAGCTTCCTATAACACATAATAGTTCCCATTCAAGGAAGCAATTAAGGGCCAGACACTGCTTTAGGCAATTGAGAGACATTATTGCTACTCCTTTAACAGTATGAAAGAATAGACAAGATCACCCCAGTCTCTCCCACACCCCTCCCTCCACCCCATTTCACTGGTAAGAAACTGAGGTTTCAATATTAAACGACTTGACCAAGGATTCCTAACCAGGAAGATGTACAGGCAGGATTCAAACATAGTTCTGACTCTCAAGACCAATTGTTTCTGAGATACTTGGGAATAGTAAACCTGTAAATTGTGAAAGTAAAGAAAAATTTCTCTCTTTAAAGGAATGAAGCCCAGGAGGAGAGCAAAATATCCTTAAATTTGTTTTATCAGGTTACTAGACCTCCTTTACAGATGGAGCTGAGGTTCAGAGAATATTAATACTTACAGCAATACTAATAACAGCTAACACTTAAATGGTGATTACTTTGTGGCAGGCATAAGTGTGTTACAACATCTGGTTCTAGCCCTCACTTTTAACCCAATGCTACTGCTTCTCAATACTATTTAATTGGATCATACTTTTAAAGGAAATCTTTAACAGAGGTTTAAAAGTAGAGCAAGTTATATAAAATGGTTTGGTGGGGTTCCATGTTGAAATGACCTGGTTCATAAGTAGCAAAGCTCAAATTTAGAACCCCAATTTTGTGACCTCTTATTTA